GTTTGGTGTATTCTTGTTCGCTAGGTTTATGTACATTTCTTAGCGTCTATTTGGTTTGGTTCTGACTTAAATTTCGCTGAATTATGGCCACGTCGTTGGATTATGGGTTTCAAGAATTGATAAAGGTACGTTCTTGTCTCTTTCTTGAAGATTATAAATCATTTTACTTCTTCAACAGCGAAGTATGCTAGACACGGCACAGCGCTCTCGCGTCATTTTAAAACGTTTAGCAAAACCTTGAATAAAATCCAAATTCTTGCTCCTAAATATCTTTTATTCGTCTTACTATAGCATATCATGTTGGTTGTCAATAATTAACCGATTGGCTTCAGCAAATTTGTCTTTTATAACTGTAGTAAAAGTGAATTAAAGTTAAGGCTGTGAGATTAGGTCATAGCGTGACTTTTATGGTTGAATTTGACACATTTATATTTGTTTTATCTGACGAAAACTGGCATATTAAGTCGAATTTCATCTCTCAACTATTGTCCTGTTTTATAAGCCACTAGTTTCAAATCTTTTTATTCCACCGTCAAATTGACTCCTTTCCTTCCTCAGAGGCTTTCAACCAAGAGTTTATAGTCTGTTTATATCACAAGAACAAAGCAATCTCTATTGAAATTACCATTCATCTCATCTTATGCATTGTTGGTCTTCAAAACAATGTCATAAATTGTTAGTCAGTTACTAACAATTAAATAGACATCACATAAAAAATTATTTTAAGCTTAAATTAGTTTAAGTTTTAAGAAAGCGTAAGGTAACTTCACGGCGTTAATAAGGCTTGATTTCCACATGCAGAAAAGTGGTTGCTTACGTTAGCGAAATATTTGCATATTTTCTTTTGAAATAAGAACATTCAAGCTGAACTAATTTATTTATTGTATTAAAAACTGAAAAGAAAATATGTAAATACTTCGCTAGCGAACGGTTAAAAACTGACTGAAAATCTTAAAGTGCTTTGACGTGGCATTAATCTTTAACCTAAGCAATAGTTTGGTTTTTCCAGCTCTCAATATATATATTTCAAAGTTCTCTACACAAGATTAAATCAGTAATACGAAGTAATTAAGCGCATTAGACCGACAAAAATGCATTTAAAGCAAAGTGGATATTTTACAACATTGAGTTGAACAAAGAACCAGCAGAATACCATCAGAGTGTTTGTTTTATTCTTGTCTGCTGGATTTCTGAACATTTCTTAGCGTTTATTATTTTATTTGTGGCCTAAATCTGTGGAATTATGTCTACGTCGTGAATTTCATAGTTACGTTTTTGTCTCTTGAAGATTGTAAATCATTTTACTTCGTCAACGGCGAAGTATTCCAGGCGAGGCCCAGCGCTGTGACGTCATGTTAAAATGTTTAGCAAAACTTTCAATAAAATCATAAATTTCGTTCCTAATATCATTTACTCGTCTTAATACTGACAATAATATGCTAACAATTGTAATAAATTAATAAAATTGACTTTTGAGGGCGGTGGAATTACGTCATGGGGCGACTCTTCCATTAGATAAGACACATTTATCTTTCTTTTGTTAATTTTGTTTCATCCGACGAAAACTGGCGCTTTCTTTGATTGGAAGTTCATGTGCTACCCATTATCCTTTATTTTCATACTGACCAACTAGTTACCTATACAAGTCTCAGTTTAACCAACTGTCAAGTGTCAAATTGTTCCTTTTCTTCTGCAGAGGCGTTCAACATAGAAATTATAGTCTGTTTATATCCCAATAACAAGCCTTTGAAAAGCCTAGAAAAGCTGAAAGTATATATCTGCTTTGAAATGAATAGGTTTTGCAAAGAAATCCTGCAAATTGGAAGCAATAAAACGACTCGATTGACAACTATCACACAAAGTAAGCTTTAGGTCGATAAATTAAATAACCACGGCACAGCGCTCTGGTGTCGTATAAAAGTTTCAAACTGGCCTTGTTTGAAATCTTACGTTTTCTCATCTTATGCATTGTTAGTTTCTAAAGCCACGTATTAACTTGCTGGACAATTACTAACCAGGCCATCGTGTTTAACAAATAAGCTGTGAAGTAACTTTATCTTAAGCTGTGTGGAATTACATCATGATGTGGTTTCTTTTAGAAATAAGAAATTTTATCACGTGAAGGAAAATAATTCAAGTTGTCATATTTAATGATCGTTTATGGTGGTTCGTTTAACGAAGTCGAAGGTAGGAAATATTAAAGACTGTTGATATTTAAAGAGATGATGTAATATGCAAGATGAAAGAATCTATGCAATACTTCATATAACGCTAGTCCAACACGACATGAATTCAGTAAAATGAAGTATTTACAAAGAGCAGTAGACAACGCCACTCGCATTCGTCTTCCCTGGCTGAAATTAATGAAGCTATAAACACATACCCATGCAAGCTCGATAAATAACCAGCAGGATAGCATAAAGTGATTGGTGTTTTTTATCCGCAAGGTTTGTAAGCTATTCAGTCTGACTAAATTGTGTAGAATATAGACGCTGTAGTTGAATTGTTGCTTCAAGATTTAAAAAGTACGTTTCGGTCACTTTTAAAGATTATAAATTGTTGTCCCGGCACAGTGCTGTATCATTCTGTTAAGACATTTAGCAAAATCTTAAGTAATGTCCCAAATTTGTTTCTTTTTTTCTTCATTTGTCAATGACAGATGATGTTGGCAGTTAATAAATGACGTGTTTCATCAGGCATTTGTATCGGATTTGAGTGAGGGTCTGCCTCGAATGTTCTTTGAACATGAGTGAGCAAATGATACGAAGTTTCACGTATTTCTCGATAGCAAGCTCAAAGCCAGCACAACAGTAAACGATTAATTCCCTGAGATTAGTAGATTTGTAAAAGGAAACGATCGAAAGTCTACCGAAACAGTTTTTCAAAAATTATTGCTTGAACTAAATGGAATTTATAAAAACCTCAACGATAGTTTAAAATCGGAAATGGAAAAAATGGAGTAGCAATAGATGTTAAATACGAGAGATATGTTCATGAATTATTTGGCATCAAAATACATTCAGATCATACTGTGTCTCTAAATGAGAACATGCTTTCAAAATTTATAATGTGATGACAAATTCTGTTGTCGCACAAAATTAAGACAAAATATTTCAGGGATGTGGAAAAGTTTTTTGGAGTTTTTTTGTGAGTGGTTGCAAGTCAGTAATGTAACTCCTTTTCACAAAATCATTCAAGAGATATCAGTTTTAACAACAATTCCTTCTGATTTTCTATGCAGATGATCAGATAATGTGGTTGTATTTGAAAAGTATTATCAAATTAAAAAAATACGTCAGACTAAAGATTAAAAAAATACGTCCGACTAAAGATTAGAAAAATACGTCAGACTAAAGATTAGAAAAATACGTCCGACTAAAGATTAGAAAAATACGTCAGACTAAAGATTAGAAAAATACGTCAGACTAAAGATTAGAAAAATACGTCAGACTAAAGATTAGAAAAATACGTCAGACTAAAGATGAGAAAAATACGTCAGACAAAAGATTAGAAAAATACGTCAGACTAAAGATTAGAAAAATACGTCACATTAAAGATTAGAAAAATACGTCACACTAAAGATTAGAAAAATACGTCAGACTAAAGATTAGAAAAGTACGTCAGACTAAAGATTAGAAAAATACGTCACACTAAAGATTAGAAAAATACGTCACACTAAAGATTAGAAAAATACGTCAGATTAAAGATTAGAAAAATAAGTCAGACTAAAGATTAGAAAAATACGTCAGACAAAATACGTCAGATTAAAGATTAGAAAAATAAGTCAGACTAAAGATTAGAAAAATACGTCAGACTAAAGATTAGAAAAATACGTCAGACTAACGATTAGAAAAATCGCGATTAATTCAGTAAAATGAATTTGTATTTTATAGTCTAGAATATAGAAAGTGAAAAAGCAGAAATTGAAAATTATGAATAATGGTATAATAGAACGAGAAGTGGTAAAAATGCCGTAAGTAAGAAATACATCTATCTAGAAGATTTGCCGGAGAAAAGGAGAAAGTTTCATGTTCGTACGTTTTACAAATAGAACTGATTGTGTGACCCTGGCATCTTAGCAGTAGCAAGCTAGGTCATATATGACCAGGCTTTAGCAAATCTAAATGCCAATTTAAGCAATGGTTATCACACTAAAAAGCATGAAACCTTGACATAGTCTTGTATATAATTTGTGTAATCATAATAAGAATAATTAATTACTTTTACTTATCTCCAGATCATATTTTGAACAGAATTCTTGGATTAATCCAATTTCAATTCATCTTTTAATAAGCGTATAGAACACATTGAACAACATCAATGTGTTCTTTAGTACAGAGTGAAACTTTTTGGCCAAAGTTTGTCACTTGCCGCCCATGGCAGAAAAACCCCAAAAATAATTCGCTCTCAAAACCAGTCGTGCACTCGAAGCGCTATGGAAAACCCCCTGGCTACATATCTGTGTATAAAGCACCTGAAGAAGGAACCCACTCATCGTATGTATAATGGCTAAAATTTCAGTAAGAATTACCTCACGAAATTATAGGTACAAACGGAGCAGAAGTAATCCTGTAAATCTTATTCCGTTGAAGACTTTAAAGCAAAACTTAGATCTAAATATTTCATCACAAAAGCGTGTCAAGCGCGTGTTACCAAACATATTATATCTTAATGCCAGATCTCTTTTAAATAAGATAGACGAATTGTCAGTTATTATTAACCAACAAAATGCTGATGTGATTATGGTGACAGAAACCTGGCTGACGGACGCGATGCCCGACGCGGCTCTTCATATTTCTGGTTTTACTATAGTTAGGCGAGATAGGTCAATTCGAAGAGGAGGAGGTGTAGCTATATATATAAGAGAATCACTTCCCTTCAAAATTCGACCGGATTTCCATAATCTTGACTATGAATGCCTTTGGATTACCCTCAGACCAAAATGGCTTCCAAGAAAAATTTCTAAATTAGCACTTGCGTGTGTTTATCTACCACCATCAATGAATACCGAAACAATTGAAAGGTTTTATGAATATATTTGCCAGTGTTGTGACAGTCTAATTAGTGAGAGTCCAGATACATCAATAACTGTTACTGGGGATTTCAATCCAGAAAGTAATGGGTTTCAGGAACGTGTCCTTAAAAACCATTGTAAGTTAAAACAAGTAGTTAAAACGCCAACCAGAGGGAATGCAATTCTGGACTTGATCCTGACCAATGCCCATTTGTTCTATGAAAGACCAATATCATTGGCACCGATTGGCTTTTCAGATCATTGTGCTATTATATGGAAATCTAAAGAACAAACCCAAAGCAAAAATGAGGTGAAAAAGATCACAGTGAGACCCATCAAAGAAGCAAGGTTGTTTACGTTTGAAGAATGTATCGGACAAGAGACGTGGTCAGCGGTTTATGATGCTCCATGTATTGACACCAAGGTAAACGCTTTTTTATCGATCACTAATGCAATGATTGATAACTGTTTTCCAACCAAAACTGTGAAGGTCCATAAAGATGATAAGCCCTTTATGACTGGGAGATTAAACAAATGATATCAAATAGAAATAAAATGTACGGATGCGGGAGAATGGACGAGTATAAATCGCTTCGTAATAAAATTGTTAGAGAAATTCGGAAAGCGAAACAAAAGTATTACAGTGAGAAAATCAAACCTGCTCGATGTTCTAATTCGAAGCAGTGGTGGAATAATATTAAAAACATTATTGGGAAGAATAAACAGGATTTTGTCCTAAGTAACCCAGAATCTGATACCCCACTAAATCCAAAAGATACAGCTAATCTAATGAACGAGTACTTTACCAGTCTTACTAGTAATTACCCTGAAGTACATGATAATTGGCTTAATTTTGGAACGGATGAGCAATTACCGAACGTAACTGTAGACAGTGTAGCAAAAAAGTTAAGTAAACTTAACCCGAATAAAGCAAGTGGTCTGTTTGACCCAAATGTGAAGATAATAAAACTTTTTGCGAAATATTTCGCTGAACCGTTAAGCTACATTTTTAATGAGTCATTTACCTCCAGAATATTCCCAGACATTTGGAAAATCTCAAAGGTGTGTGGAATCCCAAAAAGTAAACCTTGTGTCGCGGTGGATCTCTTAAGACCTATCTCATTGACGAGTATTTATCTAAGGTACAAGAATCCTACGCTACTGAATGGATTTACGAGGATGTCCATGATAAGATCAGTGGTAGTCAATTTGGAGGTTTGCCTGGAACGTCGACAATACATGCGTTGATTTACTTGTTACACAAATGGTATAAAGCAATGGATAGCCCAGGAAAGATTGTTCGTATCATGTTTCTTGACTTCCGGAAGGCATATGATCTGATTGATCATAACTTGTTGTTAGATAATTTCATTAAAATTGGCGTTCGTCCGGCCATGGTTGGCTGGTTTGCATCATACCTAACTAATAGATCACAAGTAACGTCCTTCCAAGGAGAGCAGTCCGACCGTAAAAGAGTCAAGGGTGGTGTCCCACAGGGAAGCAAGTTGGGTCCAATCGCTTTTATAATTAAAATAAACCAACTACCAGCGTCTATTGCATCTAATGATCAGGATCAAACACGGAATGCCGTAGAAGAGCAGGATGCAGCGATGTTTATGGACGACACCACAATATCGGAAGTAATCAATGTGATTGATCATTTAGATGATCAAACAATCGGTAATACCCGGGAAAATGTAGATAAAGTGGTATAATTTGCAACGGACGAAGGAATGGAATTGAATGATAAAAAGTGCATGGAGATGATAATTGACTTCAGGAAAAACGTAACCTCGATAGCCCCAATCCTTATTGGTAGCCATAACGTCTCCCGTACAAAATCATACAAGCTATTGGGGATATGGTTAAGTGACGATCTTAAATGGAAAGTAAATACTGAACATATCATTAAAAAAGCGGCTAAGCGTTTGTATTTACTAAAGGTTTTAAAGAGTTATGGAGCCCCTACGGGTGATTTGTTATCCTTTTACTGCTCTGTAATCCGCCCTGTGCTAGAATATGGTGCAGAGATTTGGAACGGAGGTTTAACACAAGAACAAAGGAAGAGTATTGAACGTATTCAAAAAAGAGCACTCAGGATAATACACCCAAATCAGGATTATGAGCAAGTAATAGCCGAGACGAACTTGCAAACTCTGCAAAGACGTAGGGACGAATCATGCATATCCTTAATTAAGGAAATGCTGGATCCAAATCATAAACTACATAGCTTATTACCAATGAAAGTAGAACAGGTTAGTCAAAAGGAAACAAGAACTAATAGCCAAACATTATACAACTTCTTTTGTAGAACCGAACGTTTTAAACAAAGTCCTTTGGCCTATTCCATAAGTTTATATAACGCTAAATTAGTTAGTTAGCATATTTTTATAATATTTCTCATGTACTGATAGTTATGTATATAGGTTTTTTATATATAATTGCTGTAAATAATTAGTAAAACCTATTATCTTTTATAGCTATTTGTATTGTAAACATATTGTAATTTAGCGTCATCGCTATTTAAAATGTGTAAATAAACCATTACCATTACCATTACCATAGTCCATATATAACAACATTATATCATACAGAATCTCATAATTATAAACTCTACCTCATCCCATTCTTTTTCTCGGTGTAACCTATATAATTAGTACAAACATTTTTGTTACAGTAATTAACCGTGTTTAATGCCATGGCTTCTGACGAACTGCAAGAAAAAGCAGGTTTTACAAGACTCAGTAGACTTTTAGTTGACAAAGGAACTGAGGCTTTGAGAAATAAATTTGATTACATCCATCAGCCTGTTAGTCTACCTGGAGTACTGGCTGCAAACAAAACATCTCTTCAAAAGTTAAAACCTCGAGTTATTAATAATTCCCAGTGGGATTTACTGTTTCCTCCGTCTGGCAATCCACCAGATTCCAAAACCTTTGATGTCACATTACTTACAGTTCTATTCCGGAACATTTGTGGTTTTCCATCAACAGGATGGGGTGTAATGCCTCCGAATACTGATAGGTCAACGCAGGCGAATATCACAAAAATCAAGTGTTACAGAAATGAAGTTATTGCACATGTAACATCCACTCGAGTTGACAATTCAACATTTCAATCTTTATGGAACAAAATTGCCCAGGCATTGGTAGAATTGGGAATTCCGCAAAGTGATGTCGACGATTTAGAAAAATGTCCTCTAGGACCCAAAGAAAAAATATATGAGCAAATCCTTGAAGATTGGAAACAGCGAGAAGATGAGTATATCAATATGCTTGCAACAATTGAATATTCTGTAAATCACTTAACACAAGTCGCTGAAGAAACGCGCGATGTAGTAAATGAATCACGAGATGCTGTAAATGAAACGCGTGATGCAGTAAATGAAATCCGCCATTCATTAGCGAAGCGTACACTATCAATACCCGGGGACACCAATTCTGAAAAAAAATCCGTCATGGAAAGTGATGAAGATTTATTGCGAAAACTTGCTAAGCATAATTTTAGGGGTAAAATTAAAAAAAAAGTGAAATTTTTCCTTCCTGGTACAAGAGAGTGGTTGTTAGAGGAAATTAACGAGTGGTTTCAAAAGTGTGACAGCGAATCGAAAATAAAGTTAATAACAGCTGGACCAGGATTTGGTAAAAGCGTTTTTGCCGCCAAAATCTGTGAAGATTTTGAGAAGAATGGAAAGCTGGCTGCTTGTCACTTTTGTGATTTCAGCAATTCAAACCTAAGAGATCCTATGATGATGCTGCAGTCTCTCGCAAGTCAGATGTGTCGGAATGTCCCTGGTTTTAAAGAGAAGCTTCTTGATCAGTTAAAGCGACCTCATCAAGTCCAAAACCTCAAAGATGCCTTCCAAATATATTTGCAAAATCCCTTAGATGAATTGGAAATAAAAGAGCCACGTTTAGTCGTGATCGATGGCTTGGATGAAAGTGCTGCTGATAATAAGAATAAAATTACGCATTTGATTGCTGAATATTTTCCTGATCTTCCCGAGTACATCAAAATCTTGGTGACGAGCAGGCCAGAAATTTCCGTTGCTGATCTAAGACTAAGAGAGGATCAAAAGATTCACATTGCGAATGTTGATGACAACAATGACTTAGATCTTGAACTTTATTTTAAAGAATGGCTTCCAAGTTTAGTTGGCAGGGAAGTAAATCAAAGTGAAGTGCGCCGTCATTCATATCTTTCCATTTTTATTGCCAAATGCCAGGGCTCATTTCTCTATGCATATCACTTTCAATCTGGGCTAAGGGCTCGCTCTGATCTTGAGAGGATGACAAATAATGACCTCAGGGAGTTTCTCCCAGAAGGACTGAATTCTGTTTACGAACAATATTTTAAACGCTTTGAAGACGAGCTTAGCGACATAAAACATGAAAAGTTCGATGTGTTGAGAATTTTAGAGATGCTGGCAGCTTCCGAAGGACCTCTTCCCCTCACTTTTGTCGCTCAGGTTTTTGGTTTAGCTCCAGATTGTCGCAAAACGAAAGACATCATCAACAAAATTAATGAAACCGTATCGTGCTTGTTGTACGTTTCAGATGACATGTTAACCGTTTTTCACAAATCCGTTATTGATTGGCTTCTAGCAAAGGGCTACAAAGATCACCAGTATACTGTCAAGGTGGATGATGGACATAGATCGCTTTGGCTTTTATGCGAGAAGGTTTTTAAGGAAATTAAAGAGAAAACTGTTTGTTCAGGACTTGAGGTGAACTTTACTAATGACGTGGAATACGCTCTGAATCATGGTTTAAAACATCTAGAAAAGTTTGAAATGGAAGAAGGTGTTTTCTGGTCAGTTGATGTTATTATCGTATGTTATATGTTCACTGTAAATTATTCATATGTATTGCAGCGTTTCTGGCTCACATTACTGCAATGTTCCTGGATTGAGAACGAAGATTTACGCGCCCGCATTTCGTACCATGTCATTGAATTTGAGCCTTTGGAACTTGCCCTGAAACCCCTGGAGAAATATTACAACTATTCAAGACAAGTTTATTCGACAATATTGTCACAATGGTATTTACAAGCGGTTCTTACCCGTTCTTCAGAAGATTATTTCAGCGATGATGAGAAGGAAATCGCGGAGAAGCTACTATCAAACCTTTCACCTTTTGTCGAGTCGAATTTTTACGAAGTTTCGGTTTTGCCGCGAGCAGTCTGGAAACCCGATAAATATTCCTTTAGTACAGCTGTTGCTTTATCTAACGATGAGAAAAGTGTAGCAGTTGTAACGGATGATTTTATCCATGTGCTATCCCTACCAACTTTAGTTGAAATTATGAATTATTCAACAAAATTGGAAAGAATTCGATGCTGCACATTTTCTCCAGACGACTCGCTCATATTATTTGGTAAACTTGAAACGGCGTTTAACATTGCTGGAGGAAAGGAAGTTCCATTTTTCCCTGGAAATGAAGAGACGTTCCTGTCCTGTGCATTTTCCCCAAACGGCAAAAGACTGGTTACTAGCGACGGTTCAAACACCATTAAACTATGGAACGTTGCTAAACAAACGCTGCTGTCGTCGCTTTGTGCTGGATTTCCTGTTGATTGGTGTTCTTTTAGCGTCACAGGGTTATTTATTATTGGAAATTCAGAATCTTCATCTTATCCGGGTTATTCGTTTTGTGTTTGGGACGCTATCACATTACAAAGAAGTGATAAGCGAAAATTATCTCACGGGGAAAGTGTGAAGCCAGATGTGTTAAAGAGTAGGAAATGTGAACGATGTTTTCAGCGAGGATTTGAAGAACCAAACTCTAAACACTTAGAAATAAGGTCAAATGACAAAGATGATGAAAAAAGTTGTATAATTTCGCGTCCGTGGATCTGCAAAGGTGTGGAGTGTATTTTTTCTTCGGAAGAATTTTGTTATTCGAGTGACACAGAAAGTATTCCTTTGACTGCGATTGTTGCTTGGAACTATCTTGCTACAGCTGCTCATCGAAAGATCTTTTTTAAACGAATCAAAATGACACGTTTAGAAGATAATCTGTGGCTCTATTCAGATAATAATAAACTAAGTGTTTTTAAGACATTAGCTCCTAAACAAGAGCAATCCTGTCTCTCACAGGCAACGAAAGTTTATTCGAGTTCGTTTTCTCCTGACGGCTCTCGACTTGCATCCTGCAACTCAGATGGATATATCAACGTATGGAATGTCTATACCAGCCAAGTTCAACAACGTTTCAAAATCAGTCAATGCGGGTCAAGGTTTTTATGCTGGTGGTCGGAAGATTTCTTGTTTGTGATTAGTGAATTTAACGAGTTTTTATTTTTAACGCGATACCCGGTAGATGTGAATTTAAAGATCATTTTTACTGACAGTCATCGCATTGTGCTTTTTCGTTTGGTTTCCAGGTTTTGCCGCTTGGTTGGTTTCTCCGAAGGCTTTTTCAGCGTTACTCTCGGACGCTTCGAACCCGTGAAAATTCTCGATGTCAGAGATGTTGATGATCCTGTAATGATCAATTTGCCTGGATTTAAGCCTGAGATGAAAGTGGAAATTTCGCCTGGTGGTTCCTTTATCTCTGGTTGTAATGAGAATGAATGTTATATTTGGAAAAGAAATACCGAAAAAGAAACTTCGTATGAAGTCTTCTATTACCGTGATGGTGTTCGCAGAAAATCAGTTGCAATCTTCAGCAATGATTCCAAAGTCGCAGTAGTCGTGGACAACGCTGAGAGGAGT